CAACAGAGAAATCCAAAATTACCTCATGGACGTAGTCTATTTCAACTGTCCATCCGTCTGGTTTGAATAAAACTGATGAACTTGGTGTTGGTTGAAATATATTATACCCATGTGGTAATTTTGGCTTTCAATTTGAAAAGTGCTTCAGCATGAAACTCAGAGTTGTGCAATTAATGTAAGATATTATGCATATTTCTTAATATATATATTAAATAGCTCTGTTACTTAATATTGAGCACTGTTTTTTCTTAGAGTTTTTATATGTATTTGTATATGATTGCTTACTTGTATACCTACCTAAACTTACCCATTTGGTTATATATATGTATATATATAATTCTTTTAAACATGTCTCATATATTTAATTTTCAGATTAAGCAATGTATTGATAAAAACTAGTTAATTATTATTGTAAGAGTGCAGTTAATTTGACAACTGTTTTTATCTTCACCTGAAAAATATTTTCTTATAAATGGATTTGGATACAAATCATTTAAAAAAATATTATTGAATGAGAGAGGAGTATGCCAACAAAATGATACTGGGATGTAGATATACAAAGCCAAATGTACCTATCATGACATCCAGTCTAATAATGGTATACCAGATGCATGCACCACAGCCCAAACTGTGAACAATATGGTAACAGGTTTTGATAAAGATAGCACATAGCCTTGCAGGTGGGGCCCAGTCAGAAATAGCTTCAGGTTGAGTAACAAAAACAGCTGTTCCCAAAATTTGACTTCCAAGTTACCTTGGCTGTCCCTCCTATCTTTCATATTGAAACTAAATTTCTTCCCAATGGATTCTCTTACTAATCATCACTTATACTCTTTCTGTGTTGACTTCGGACATTCACTGAATATATGGTTAACTGTCTCTTCAGTTTGTCTACATACCCTGCATTTACCATATTCGTGTGATTTTTCAATTTGGGTTTTGATTGCATTTGTTCTGATAGCCTGCTCCTGTGCTGCAAATATAAGTGATTCTGTTTCTCTATTTATAGCTCTCAGGTTCAGTAATTTTTTTTGTTGAAAAACCTGACCATGAATCTTTTTTTCTTTCAACTTGTCATGCCACTACTTTTGTTGCATCTTTGCTGCACTTATTGGCTTAACATTTTGCTCTTCTAGATTCACATTCACTCTTCGTGCAGCTGTCAAAAGCAATTCATGAGAACTCTTCAAATAATTCTCAAGTCCTAGAACAGCCAATGGCACAACTTCTTCAACACTCATAAACCCTCTGTTTCCCTGCTTTCTTAGAATATACATCCTAACAACATCATTGTTTGGATTCAGAGCCGCCTTATGCATATTCATTAATTTTTGTGTTCTGTCTATCACTTCCATTTCTGTATAATTCTAATGCAAGAATAGTGGAGAGGAGAGATTGTATTATTATTATAGTATTATTGTTATTTATTTATTTATTGCTGATATAATTGCAAGAATAAATAAGTTTTAAAAAGAAATAATGCAGAAAAAAAGATATAATCATTTTACTTATATAAATCATCACATTGCAGTATTTGAACTAAAATGAATATATATATATATATATATATATATATATATATATATATATGTGTGTGTGTGTGTGTGTGTGTGTGTGTGTGTGTGTGTGTGTGTGTGTGTTTTAGTGTAGTGGTTAGCTTGAGGATTGTGTAGACCATTGATTTCATGAGTTCATATGCAGGGCCTGTGCAAGGATTTTGTGCATGTCCCCGAAGCTATGATACTGGACCCTACCACTCTACTACATTTCAATTTTCATAAGGTAGTATTCATATAAAGTACTAATTTTATTCTAGCCTAATTATGTACAATAATGGATCATATGCATTATTATTTCAACAAGAAAAATGGAAAATAATTACAATGTATCTAAATACAAATGTCATAATAGATCATTCCATTTTAAATAAATCAACATTGTTTTGTGGAAATTTTTAATATAAACTTAAGATTTTTCTTGTCAAAAAGTTGAATTCAACATTATGGATAAAAAAAATAGTGAATTTTATATAGTGTTTTTTTCAACACTTAACAAATTGACAGATTTGGATGAAAAAAGATGACCCCAGAATGACCTCAAAATTTACAAAAATATTTAATTCTTTAATAGTCAGTTGTTCTTAGTTTAATTTGTAATTTATATAAATGTAGGTAGCAAATGTTAATAAGATAGTGAAGATCACAAAGCACTGCCCAGGGTCTTCAATCAGGCTTGACCCCCACCCCCTGGGCTGAGAAGTTCAGAAGAAGTATATGCCGGCCCAGATTACGTAGAAAGGTAAAAGGGGAAATGGAGTAAACAGGAAGAAGATTGAAACTGGTTTTACAGTACAAACTATTTTTTTATGATATTCAAACATTAAAACTTCAATACATATGGTGAACAGATAATTACAACTGAACCATTGCTAATAGGAAATGTCATAGAATGTCTACATGTTTAAAAAAACAATTTCTGTCTAAATTACAATAAATAAATTTGTATGTGTTTATGTATATTATAGGTGTCTTAACTTTCCTTATGACACATTTTCCAATACAATAATCTTTTTGTTTTGTTTGTTAAAATTTAAATTTCTGGTAAGTGTTTGAACAGAGGACAGAAAGTGCAACACTGAAATCCAAAGGTGCATTGAGATAGCTAATGAAGCGTTCCAAAAAGCTAAGCAGAGTAATAAGAAATGGGAAAAATTCGTTAGAAACCAACAAAAGAGTTACTAAACAAACAGGTATATGATATCTGCCCTTCAGTATGGTAGTGAGTGCTGAACGATTTCTTCAAAGATGAAGAGGAAACTTGAAGCAACAGAAATATTGTTCTATAAAAGGATGAACGATGGAGTAATGGATAGTGGCTCGGATTGAGGAATCGGTGAGCCAAGTTTGAATTCCAGTCGAATCCATTACATTTATTTACGTGCTAATACCCTTGGGAAAGGTATGGATCCTCTTCTTCTCCCCCCAGCTATGGGTAAATAGTAGGACAGACTTGATGGCAACTGGTCTACCGCAGAAAAAAATGGCAACCTACTGCAGGAAAAAAAATCTGCCTCGTCAGTCATGTATTGAAAGATACATGATTGCCTAAGCTTAAATGATGGCACATAACTGACTGAATAGGATGCTGAGGATACCGTGGACTGAACATGTGAGCAACGATAAAGTTTTGGAGAAAATGGAAACAAAAAGGAAATTAATAGTTAACAATAACATCAGGAAAAGACAGTTGAGGTTTTTCTGAGACATATAATGAGGAATGAGGGATTTGAAAACCTGATATTCACAGGCAAAAAGGGACAAAGAAATGCATGGCGGAATAGGGTTTAGGAGAAATAATAGAAAGACAAAGTTTATTAGGAACTACAAGGGACAGAAAGTTGTAGAGGGCCATGATCGCCTACGTCCTGAGGGGAGACGGCACATAAAAGAAGAATTGCCGTGCGCATGTATTTTTTTTTAATCGCTTAAGTAAGGGAATTAATTCGTCTGTACCCTGTTTAGAGTTGTTTCCCTTTACATCAGATACATAATTGTTAGATATTTAAGTTTCCAAAATATTTAGTGACGGAACTATATTTTTTTAAAATCATTTACTTCTTTTTGTAAAGAAGTAGAAATAATTTATATTACAATTTAAATAATCGGAAATAATTTTCATCTTATTTTCTGAAATAAAATTTTGGATAAATTGCATTCTTTATTGAAGACCATTTCATTGTGCATATCTTGCCCAGAAATTGGAGGCCTATCTCATATCTCATCTGGGAGTAAAGAGTTTTAGTTTCGATTTGTGATAATTCGCTCCTGTAGCCAGCTTGAGAAATTCAAAAAGTAGATATTAAGAGCATAATTAATTTGGCTTAAAAAGTTCATCCGCTTTAACTTGGTATATTTTTGCTTTACTAAGTAAGGTCTTGTTACAGTTGATGGATCCACTTATTAACAAGTGTGTACAAAATATTATATGCATTTTAAGCTTTAAATTAATTATCCATGCTAAAATGGTTTTAAGGAAACAAAAATAATATTGGAACTATGAATTCTGAAAAAAAAATATGACATGAGACAAAATAAATATGAAAGTAACTTTTTAATTTTTATTGTTTAGAAATAAAGTAACTATTATTATACAGACTTATTTTGTCATAAATATACTTTTTTATGATTATAGAAGTACCTAGAAAAAATGATTCTTAAAAATTTTGCAGCAGGGTTAGGATTAACATTTTGTACACCTCATTTACAATATCTAAAAATATTGGATTAAATTTATTGAATTTAATTATGACATTAAATTCACATATCATTCTTAATAAGTGATTTTTCATTAATTTTGTAAGGCAGAAGGCTGGGGAGTAGCACTTTGATCCTAGGTAGAGCAGCATACACATATTTTGATCCTAGATCCAAGTGCTGATTCAGACATAAATATTCCTATTAGTTCTGTCAAGTACTATGTTAGGGATTATATAAGTCATATTTTTCTATATGCTGTGTCCCTTCAGGACATAAGTGATTATTGCTCTCCACAACTTCCTGTCTTTTGTAACTCTTAGTAGGTTTTGTATTTTTGCTATCTCTCTTAGTTCCTGTTTTGCCAACCATTTACATAAGCCTGTTAGGTAGGCTATTCACTGCTTTCCTCTGTTCAACTTACCTTCAATATGTCTTGTGATCATCAAATCCTCCAAACCCTCTTTTCTCATTATATGTTTGAGAAATTTCAACCATCTCTGTCTGATTCCATCCTTTTTGTTTTCATTTTCCTTAACACTTCTCCATTGCTTACATGTTCTCTTCATGGTATTCTCAGCATCCTTCTGTAGAACTACATTTCAATGAATTTTTTCTATTTTCATGGTAATAAATGTTCATTTTTCATTTTTTTGGTTCTGTTCATTAACATTCATTTTTTTGAGTATGATTTATAACAACAGACAATAGAACCAACTACTTATCGACTGATACTTATTTTTTCAGGACAGAGATGGAGCTGATGATCTGTTAAGTGCAGAAAATAAGCATCTTTGGAATTCTAAAAAAGTCCTTGAAGTTCAACTCCGAAATGTTCAAGATATACTGCAGGTAAAATTTCCCGAGATTTGATTTGGGATCTGAAATAATTTTTAGATAAAAAAATTATTAATTTTTTACTAGTTTTCCTTAATTTTACTTTTTTTACATTCTATTGCAATTCTTATGTTGTCTTCTGTTTGTGTTTTATATTCTATGATTTGTTAGCAGGGGACCAGAAAATGTTAACTTAGCTTTTGATGAGATTTGAACTTGTGTCCTATGTCCTTGGAAGTCTCTCTGATCTGGACCGTACCTTACTGATCAGATTAGAGAAATTAGAAATTACAGATGACATTTGAATAGTCATACAGCTACATTCTTCCTTATGGCAATGGTGAAATTAGTCATTTCCATACAGAAAACATTTAACTGAACAGTTTTACTTCCAGTAGAAAATTAAAACGTTTTTGTCTTAAAGCATTTTTTTCAGGAAATTAGGCTTCTTAAGTCTATTAATTGTTATTGCTCTTTCTAGTATTGATGGCAATACTTTGGAACCTTTTTTTTAAGATAGTGTGTAATGTTAACATCTTGATTTCACTTCACGTTACATGTGCTACCCATTTCACTTGTTGTTGCTGTTAGAAATGATCAAGTGATGTTGTTGTTATTTGGTAACACTCTTTGTTTGTGACTTTTTTTAGCACCAGTCTATACAGTATGATAAAGGATTGTCTTCTTTAAGACTTAAAGGATTCATTTGCCTGAAACTATTTTTAATCATTGATCCAAGAAAATGGTTGTATACACAAAGAACCCTTCCTGCCTCCCATTAGAATGTCTGATGCTCAACTCCATGAGAGCACTTCGCTGTGTCTGCTTGGTCTCACGCTGTCCACTGACCTAAGATGCAACAAATACATTGAATCAATAGCTTCATTTACCACAAGGAAAGTTGGTTCTCTGTGTCATTCCAGAAAGTTTTTCTCCCCTGAGTCCATCCTTCAAATCTATAACTCAACCATTCCCCCTTGCATGGAATACTGCTACTATATAAGGTCTGGAGCCCCCACTTTTCATCTCGAGGTCCTCAACAAAATCCAGAGACAGATATGCAATGTGGTTGGTCCTGATCTGGCATCTTGTCTACAGTCATTTTTTCACAGATGTGCCATCACTTCCCTCTGTCTTTTCTACAAATACTTTCATGGTAACTGCTCCAACAACCTATTTTTGCTGCTTCCCAAACTGCATGAATTTAAGCATGTTTCTAGGTTGGCATCTCAGTCCCATGTTTTCACTGTCAAAATGGTTAAATGTAGCTGAGATGGCTACATTTAACCGTTTCTACTCCAATAGCTTTCCATTTCTACTCCAATAGCTTCATGTCTCACACTTCTCACCTGTGGAATTCCCTTCCTCTTATTTGGTTCCCTGACAGTTATAGTCTTCAAATATTCAAATGTAATGTCAATCAACATCTTCTGATGCCTTGATCTAATTCCCCACCCTTCTCTTTATCCTTTCCTCAATCATGTCTCTTTACTCTTGCTCCCACTCTCTGTAACCCCTTGTGTGCTAGTGGCACTCTCGCCTTGCTTGGGGTGAAATGCTTAAAAAAAGATATTAAAATATATATATTTTCTATATATATTATATATGGGTAGTACTTATTGGAAAGTGCTCAATATCAGTGATAGAGATAACATATTCAGTCACAAACTCATATCTATACAACTGAACAAACACACACACACACACACACATGTATATATATATATATAGCTCATAGTTTAGACATTTCTGAATGGGTTAGATGCCATGCATGACATCATGAGAGTCTAAAGCTGACTGGGTTTAATTTTTTAGGTTAATATTTTGGTTTTGTAGCATCTTATGATATTGGACAAAAGTAAGCCTAGTGCATCCTATCCTGTATTTAATTTTTTTATCTCTTATTTTACATTTGTTATAACTACTCCATACACTTATGGATTTGAAGTGATTCCAATTATTATTGTTGCCTTTAATAGCATATAGACATCTATAATGTTTGTTTTTTTTACCTGTTAGGTTATTGCTTCCTTTTATTCTTATTATTACTGAGCAAGAGGGCAGCATGCTGATAAAATGACAGTGGAGTACAAATATACAAAGCCCAATATATCCATCATGACACCCAGGCTGACACCCAGGCACATGCATCACAACCAAATGTACTTGATATGGTGACAAGTTTTGATAAAAACAGTACATAATCTTGAAGATGGAGAAATACCTTCAGGTCAGATAACCCAATCCACTCAGAGGGTCTCTGATTGAGGGCATCTAGTTGTGTTTTTCAAGCCACTTTGACTGCCACACCCTTCAAACTTAAAAAACCTCAACCTTCTTGATATTCCATTTTCTACTCTTGCTCATAAACATAAATGTGCAGTGCATCTTGGCCTAAGAGTTAATCCCGACTGCTTATAGCCAGGTAACTAACAAGCAAATCTGTGCTATTGAATGATATATTTAGTGTAGCCCATCTTAATTCATTAAGGCGAAGCATGTACATGTTAAAACATCCAATCAAAGACATGAGATCTTTTCCTGATCAGGAGGATTCTTCTTCTTCTTATTATTATTATTTTCCTTAATACAAATGTATGTTAATTTGATAGTTTAGATTTTGAATTTAAAAAAAAAAATTTAAATACTACAATGAAAAATCATTATTTTCCCAAAATATGATATATCATAGCACAAAGAAAATGTTTCTATTTTTAGAAGTATAAATTTTATAAATATTGAACTATATTTTTCAGATTTTGGAAAAATGTCGTCAACTGCTACAAGCAAATCTCAATGAGCGTGCCCGTGTCTTGGAATTAACTAATGAGTCGGCAGCATTGGTTAAACAAAAACCACAAAAAGTTCGGCCAAGCACAGCAGACCCCAAGTTTGAAAATCTTCAATGCACAACAGTTTGCCCACCAATAGCTTATACACCTGAAGTTGATGTAGCTTTAAATGAAGCCCAAAATGTAAGTGTGGAAGCGAAAAAAATACGGGTAGAAGCTGAAAATATGATCACTAAGGTTAAAGAGCTTAATCATGCTGCTCATGATTCTGTCAACAAAGGGTTGGCAAAAAAACTGGCAGAATCAACACATCTTATGGTAAGAATTGATTTGCTTCATATTAAAAAAATTTATTTTATTAGTAGCTATTATTCATCTTATTATTGTTGCTTTTTATCACAGCATTCACGGTGAATATAAATTGATATAAAAAAATCATAATAAATAACCAACTTAATGAACTTATGTGATTGGATTAAGTATGGAAGTTAAAAGATTGTGTTTACATGTATTTTATAATAAATAATTAAAGAAGAAGCATACAAAAACTTGGTTTTCTACTACAGACCATTTTTTATTTATTTTTTTTATATAAACTGTAGTGAAACAAAGTTCATAAATTCTCTTGGTTATGTCCATTTTCCTTTTGGTCCAGGAGTAAGTTAGGTAAGTAAGTATAAGCAACATATTAATGGTTGAGCTCAAATCAGCATTGCACAGAGTTGGAAAAGCTAAAGCAAGGTTTGTACTTACTTTCTCACTGGAAAGTTTCAACATGGTTATGAGATATCTGCTTTCTTTTTCTTAGTCCAGAAGTTAGGATAAGTAATTAAAAGCATTTTATTAATGGTCAAGCTCAAGCCAGCCTTTGACTGAGTTAGAACAATCAAAGGAAAGTTTCTATTTTGCTGGAAGTTTTTGGAAGACAGGTGGGAATGTAAGGATCATGTGGTTCTACATCTTGGCACTAGGTGGAGAAAGAGAGTAAGTGAGAAAATTTTACCTTTTTATAAATTTCAACAGCACCACCTAGTGGCATTTGACAAAACCAAGTGGTTAATCATATTTCCAGTTCCTTTACTCTTAGCATCATTGAAAATGTATTTATTCTTTTATTATTCATTATTATTATTGTTGTAGAGTAGCTATCACCCCTTCAGTACTCTACCAGATGGCCTGGTTCATAGCCTTAGTCTACGGTTAAGGACTTCAACAGTTGATACTAAGCTGATTAATATTTGGACTGATCTTACTTCATTTGGCTATACAGAATTTGACCCTATTCCTTGTAAGTTGTCTTGGTAATTGTTTTGTAACTTATTTTTCTGTGTTTTTGTATGTATCCATTAACACTGGATACTGGTGCTGAATAAATATATTAAGCACTCATTCTTCTCTGTGTATCATTCACCTCAACAATACAACAATTATTTTATTTATTGATTTTATTTCATTTTCTGACAGAAGCCACATTTGAAAATCACCTATTGGGGATCAGACATTATCACTCTCACTGCTGTGGATGTACATATATGTCCTTTCAAGATATACTTATGTCTTTATGAAACTTTGATTGTTTGCTGTCAACATGTATATACATTTTCAAGACACTGTGAAATCTTGGTCCCTAATGTTTGTGTTATAAACTAACACTTTCCAACTATTTCCAAACAAGCATAGACATATAGTAGCATACAATACAACCTGTGTTTGTGACATGTTTTTATTATATTGTGTTTTGGGTAGCTTAGTCTGCACTTCAGAGTATTTGATGGAAACCAAAATGGTAGCACTCCATGTTAAATTACTGTGCATCAATGCTATAACAATGAAGCAGTCAAAGTATAAACAGCTTATCAATTACTCTCTTCAATTACTAGATTTCAAGTTGATCAAGAAAATACAAATGCTGCTTTTTTATTCTCAAATAGTTAAACACTACATACCTTAACCTTGTCAGAAGCAATATTATTAGCAGCTTGTATCATTTTGATTTTGTGAAATAAAAGAGAGCAGAGGCATTCTGTGATTCTTAGGTCAAAGTGACCAATTCAGGATGTCTAACCAGTTCACTTGCCATTAACTTGAAAGTGTTCTCTGTTGGGAGGCTGTGTGAAGTTGGCTAAAGATGACCAATTGCAAATTTGTGCAAAATTTATTGATTGCATTAATGGGTGTCTTTCTGACAAAATTCTTGTTATCTAGGGAAAGATTTATTGACATTAAATATTGTATCATTGGTTTCATATTTGTTGTTTTTATACTTTTCAGTAATCCAATCAAGTTAAACCATGATTCTAAATGTAATTTTATTCAGTAACTGTGTGATTTTAAATGTGACACTCAGCATAAATTCTTAATCTTATTTCATTTCATATTTTGTGTTCATGTATATCTCATTATTTACTGATTTAAAAAATTATTTTTACTAGGAAATGCACATTATAGATGCACTGGCATTTTGCATAAATGTCAGATTGAGAATAGTGGTAGTGTAAACAAGCAAAAACAAGATAGTTATAGCATCATCATCATCATCATCATAATCATGAAGAATTACCTCCCCCACCCTGCTGGATCTTACAATATTGAAGTATATTGAAAATATCAGAGAATATGATTAAATTTATATTCAATTCAATGACAAACTGGAAGGTAGAATTCAGTACAGGAGGAAATTCTCTGAGATTAAAATAAAAAGATCCTGTATTTTTCAAGGATGCTCACTATCCCCACTGTTTTTTGTGATTATACTCAGTTTCATTTTGCAGAAAGGGAAAGAAAGATAGGTGAATCCACCAACTAATATACATAGACAATCTAAAATGATTTGTCCATATTTTAATATGGACAAACTGGAAATATACATCCAAACAGTCAGAATGAATTTTAACAAAGACAATGGGATATACATATAATGTGATTGGAAATGAAAAATGTGCAATGTCGATGATACACAATGAAAAGAGGAATTCAACAAAAGTGGCAAACAATTAGAGACAGAATGGTTTTGTCTATCCCCCCACTTGTAGAAATGGACTCACACAGATGATTTATGTGTAATGTAATAGATAAAGAAATAGTGTCGCTATGACAGCCATGCAACATAGAGAGAAGATTTAATACCATTTCTGCATGGAATGATTGCTGGCAGAGAGGGAAAGACGGGGGTGGGTGTCAACTGTTTGTCTTTTCTCAGACAACATTAGCAAGAGTATACCTGGAATGTGTGAATTACAAACAGACATCAGTGGCATATGTAAATTGTGGGTATCCACAGATTATGTAAAAAAATGGGATAGCAATCAACTGGCAACATTACAAGAAAGGAGAACATTGCATCAATTCAATGCCTGGTGCCACTCAACCTATCAGTCATCATACTGTAGAGCATACATTGCATTCTATGGAGTTTTATAAATGTTGGACAACAAGGACACCATTATTAACACTATGACACTGGTTATTGCACCTCACATGGGCCAAGGAATATCATAATTGAGTTATCTACTCAGATATGATTTTGTATATGAAAGAGAATACCTGAGTCTATGGATGCATCCTGTCAGTACAATGTGTTGTGCATGCTGGTAGTAGCTTGCTAATAGTGTTGGGCTTATTCTGTTGAAGTTTGCAAGAACCATTAGTAAAAATCAAGTTTGTCTTGATATGTTTCCTTGTTATTCACAGGAAACATGACAATGGTTTCAGGAATGCTCAGCTGACTTACAGGTATTCCATTGATTCACCTAATAAACACAATGATGGACATATACCTGGATGGGTATGCTCATGCAACAGCTCCATCAGCTTACAGACTCTGTGCCATGTTGTGTTAGGACTGTTATTCAGGTGAAGGGAGGAGTTGCATGTTATTAAATTACTTTCTTTCTAACATTTTTCTTTCATATTCTTTCATATTTCCGTTTAAAAAAATGACAGTAAAATAATAAGGACATTGAATAGAAAAGGCCACAACAAATATCTTTGGATTCTAGGATTAGATTTCATGAAACAAGATGAAATGAAAGAATATCTCAGAACTGAGATCGGACTATGCAGTGGAAATCCTATAAAAGGCATAAACTCATGGGCATTAACCATAGTAAGATATTTTGAACATTTCCTAGACTGGACAAGTGATGAACTGAAATCTATAGACTAGAAAACGAAAATAATGACACTACACAAGGTCTTGCATGATTCCAGAGCATCAAATGATACTATATAACGAGAAAAGAGGGAGGAAGTTTTCTTCAGAGAGCACAAGAATCTATCCCAGAACAATTATACTGACAACAAAAAGTTACAAATTTTTGTAAATACAGGGTGCGATGGATAAATTGTCGTTTAAATTACACAGAAATGAAAATAACACTGACATCTCATTTTAACAGATATACTTACCAAAATTACAAAAAATATCTTGAGATACTAAAGAGTGAATTTATTTAATAAAATCACCATCGGCTTCAACCACAGCCTCCAAATGACTTTGGAATCTTCTGCAACTATACTGGACAATCTCCTTGTTTAAGTTGGTGAATGCTGCCATAATCCTTGCCTTCAGTTTATCTTTGGTGATACAAGGAGTTTTGTTGGTCTCTCGCTCAACTGCATTCCACATATAATAACCAAGGTGGGTTGCAGACTGGGGGTAGAAGTAACGGATGATGTGATTACAAAAATCATTTGACCACCACGACTGGGTTCTCCTGCTTGTGTGGCATGGTGCAGAGTCCTGTTGCCAGATATAGGATCTTCCAGCAGCCACCCTCTTGATCCAGGGCAGCACTACCTCTTTAAGGCACTTGATGTAGGCCTCTGTGTTGCATCTGAGGCCCTCACCAACAAATTTGGGAGATTTTTCTTATCAGAATGATCAGAGTGATTTCTTTGAGCTGCCGTACCTTTGTAATCACCATTACATTCATCTAACTCTTTCTGAATCCTCTGCACTGTCCTTTGATTGACACCCAGACACTGAAATGTTTATATTGGAGCTTCCAGCATGCCGTTTCCAAATTTCTGGTGGAGTGAATTGCATTATGGTGCTCTTTTTCTTACAGATGGTGCCCAATTTATCCTATAGTTGAAAAATCAAAAACAAACAATGTGTATGCATGAAATTAAAAATATAAAATGGTGACAATTTACCCATTGTGCCCTATATCTTATATGATGCTTAGTATCATATAGGACATTGATACATATGATACACATAATATTATGATTATGATGATTATTATCATAAGAGACATTTACACATATGAGACACATAATAATATAAGATGCTTACTATCATGAGACATTTATTCATTTGATACATATAATACTATCTTCTATGATGTTTACTATAAGACATTTATACATATAACACACAGAGTAATATCTTATATAATGTTTACTATCATATTAGACATTTATACATATTACACAAAAAATAATAGTAATATATATTATATAATAGATAATATCCATATTGTTGCTCAAATAAGAACCATAAAAATAATGTTTACTCACAAGAGAAATAGCATTACAAAACCTTGTAAGAGAAATGTAAGTTTTACTGGAAAATTGTTTACTACTGTAGAACCAAAGTATCAAATCCAATGAAATGTTTCCTTATATTTGCATGGTCATCTGATTAAATTAATCTTATTATTTGAGCACTGATTGAATTAATTGCATTTCTATCAATTTTGGCAATTATTTTTTCATAATATATAAAATTTTTATTGATTGAATTTCCTTAATCATCATTGTACAATTCTTGGAAATTTTCTAATGTGGAATGATTCTCTTCATTAAATGTATTTAGGCATATGAAAAGAAGAAAACACTTATTTATTATGGCTGCAAGTGGCCTTGTAGTTAGGAGTGTTATACTCTGATTTTTTAAAAATTAATGATGAAATGATGTTGATTAAACAGTTTTATTTTGGGCCTCATTATTTGGCTTGAATCTCTTTAAAAAAAACATTAGCCTAAAAACTATGCAAACATACAAAAAAATATCTGTAGAATTACAAAACTTAATGAAAAAGTACAAGGTAAATACCAGTGATGTTATTGTGTAATTATAATTATTGACATTTATTAGAAGATAATCTTTTAAAGTCAAATATCATTTTTTGTTTGAAGCAACATTTCAGCACCTGTCACTACATTGAGGTTCATAGGTTCATTAGCTTGGATAGAATCTGTATGTAATGAGAAGCATGCTGAGTAAATCTTACCTTCAAATATAAAATATATTTATTAGTTACTAACAATAAAAGATAAAGATCTAAAATATGTGGCAATTAGTAAAGAAAGACTGTACATGACTTTTACTAGATGAAATTTACCAATCGTCTTTCCCATGACTGGGTGTAGTCATAAGGTCGCTGAACACATGATCAGTTCCCTCCATATATTTATTCATGTATAACATATCTTGGGCAAAGTAAATTTGATGAACCCAATCCCTATCCAAATCAGACCACAACCATTGTCCTCTGACTTGTAGGCTTGCCTTGGTTATGGATGCATGACCATTGATTCCATTATGGAGAACCCTCCATCATGACCTTTGATTTACCAACTTATATTAAAACTGAACAATTTTTACTAACCAGCTCATTTATGCAGTCTTGTTGCAAGAGGAAGGGTAACTTATTTTCCACTCTACAGCATCTACAACTCTACAATATCTTTTCCTAGAGATGTAACATTGCAATTCTATCACTAATTTCAATGGCTGATTTTTTGAGGAGTCTCATTCTTTACTTCCACCAGTTCAGGCCTTTATAGCTTCGACATGTCATGTCACATCCAAGAAGTTTACCCTCAGCGTTCCAAATGTAAAAAGAAAGTTCCATTCAGACAGCTTTCTCTCAAGAACTGTTACACTTTGGAATCGATTCCCACAGGTAGATGCTTCCCTGAACACTTCAAAGAGATTGTTATGGGTCAGTCATTATCTATCCTTCTTATCCTCACATTCCTACCACCCTCTCTTCCATTTATATCACACACTTCACCCTCCATTATGATTTGGACTGTAAACCTCTACCTTGAGTGACTCTTGAGCATTGTATTGGGACAAATCTTATGAGAAAAAAACCTAATGTTTAAGTTATTCATTGTTTTGAATAGTTTTCTACTTACATATTGTTCTGTTAAAATGCTATTCATATTGTGCTTGATTGAATACATTCGAGTAAATGTAATGTTTTTGTTGAAATGACAAACCCATTTCAGTGGATGAAATCAAACCCAAAACAATTGACATTTACTTGTTTCCATTGTTCAAGTGATGCTAGTCTAAATACTTTTTAAAAATTAAAATATTAGAATACAAATCTATAACATTTTTGCTGAATGTTTTATTGCATTGAAATAAGTGATTTGTAAACATTTTTCCTTTTTATCTTCACTACTTCAGGATTTCAGGGAATTTGTAATAAGAGTTTCCAGAAAATATAGTTACTTTGTTACTTTTATGTCTTGCCACTTTACTATACACAAAGCATATTATAAATTAATGATTCCTTGGCCACAAATCAACAGTTGACCTATTTACAATATTGATTTATTCACACATACACACACAAACACACACACACATGTATATATTATATATGATTATAGCAAGTAATTATTTATAAGTGCAAGATGATAAATTGTAATTTGTTACAAATAAAAAGATATCTTTCATTAAAATATATTTGTGACTATACTTCCATATAAATGGAGAATAGTACATTTTACTTTTTCTTTTGCATTGAATATGTAAATCTGCGTAATTAGATATTTTAAGTAATATTCACTTATATACTTTGATGTTATAAAATTTTCTAGCTTTAAATTGCTTCTCTTTGAAATTTATTCTTTAATGCACTGAAAAGCATTTTTGTCTTTGAGTTATAGTTGAAGAGATAAATGAAGATGTTTGAACATTAAAGGAATGTTTGTGGTGTGCATTAGTGCAATACAATGGATTTGTACACAATTGGTTTAGAACACACACAAAGTCAAGAAGGCTTTTAATGATTTTATCTGGGCCTGAGGTTTTTATGTCTTCATAGACACAAATGAGATTTAAAACAACCACACAATGTCCACAAGTATGAAAAAAGAAAATTGAGTAAATAAATAAATGAAAAAGATTTTGGGATCAAGTGCCACTCCACCAGAAAGAAGGGAATTCTGGTCATGGGCCTATATAATCAGGGTGCACTCTAGAATGGGAATCATAAAGAATCCAGCAGCTGGAAGGCGATGAGGTATTGATTAGAGATGCAAAGACAAGAGTTATGGAGGCAGTGGGAAAAGGTTGCAGTTGAGATATAGATACAGTTGCAGTCAGGGTAGAAAGGCAGTTGGAGTTCTTGATGCCCAAAGAGAATATCTAGTCCATTATTCTGTTGTGAGAAAAGACAATAGCAGTGAAGATGTCCAAATGATGCTTACTACCCCCCCATCTCCCCCAGACCATGTCAGATGAATCTGTGAAAAAAGGACCCAGTATATTGATAGCAGTATTTTAATAATGATTTTAATAATCATAGCATTATTTCACTTTCCATTTCCTTGTGAGCATATACCAAGCTTTTTCTCATTTTTGTTTACATCAGCTCAAACAAGAATCTTGTGGGGGGAAACTTTCTAGCTGATGAAAGACTGTACGAGGGCTGTTGGGGTTATGTTTACATTGGGAGTATCTAAGAATTAACTATATTATTATGTTATAGAATATAATGAAATTTTCTAAGTAAAGCCTAATGCCAATTAAGGAATTTGAAATAGGATGTTAGCACAGTCACATCAGTTCAATATTTACTGTTGAAGGATAAATTGTTACAAGTGTAGTATATACTGGGCCCACTTTCAGTCATGCCAAAATAGACTTTGCACTTAGTATCATCCAGAGAAGCCAGGTGCTGTGTTCATTTGAGGGATAAGCTCCTAGCTGTGATGAAGATCTGCAATTTATTTGATGTCAGTGGCTGCTCTTACATGTGAACCCATGACTAACACAGATGTGCTTAAGTTGTGCACATGTGGGAAAAACTGATAACATGCAGATATATATAAACGCCCCCCCCCCTAGAGAATATAGATCCCACCTTTGGTGAAGGCTCCAGAACTACACATGCTCTGGCTAACAGTAATTTACTAAATCTTGAGTTGAATCAAATGTAATATTACATATGAGGTTTCTCATTAGTCAGTGCAATAATAATATTACACAAGTCTTTAATTAAAATTATTCCATCCATTTCAAAGTGCCAACCAAAAAATTAATGTTGATATAGTTTTACTTATAGAAATGGATCATTTATGATATCAGGTTTGGTTCCTTTTTTGATTTGGTGTCAATTAGTATTTACATTTTTTTGTCTTCATTATTCATATTCTCACAATGTTTTGATCAGTATTATTTCCAATCATTATTAGGTGACACAATGTAAGATTTACACTATTTACATTGTTTGGACTGTTATTCTCATCTTTATTGTCATATTCACAATGTTTTGGCCATTGTATACTTTAGCCTTCTTCAGATATGTACAACATCATGAACATAATAAAGATGAAGACAACAGTCCAAACAATGTAAATAGTGTAAATAGTTACAATACTTCATATCACAAATATAGACAATATAAGATATTTGACCGATCATTCACCTCTATAATGCAGTTTTATATCAACAGATTCTTTTATCAGATTTTGATAAGAGCCTTCACATCTTCCTTAATTGAAACTTTGCATCTGCATGACAAGCAGAAATGAAAGCAAAAATTTGCCAATTATTTTTTGTCTGAATGAAAACAGAATTTTCTATCATTTGGCAAAACAAGATTGGCTATAATTACTGTTGATTCCTGGTGACACCATTTTGTGACATATTAAACATCTATGATGAGAAAAAAAAAACATTTTGTATTTATCTGATGAATACTGAGTTGTTCTTGTTTTTATTTCCTAGCAACATTTGTCTCTGTGTCATGGCCAGAACCGGAAAGCACTGCAACGTTCTCAGACATTGTATGATAAGACAGAATGGAGCAGGAACCAATTGGTAAGAAATTTCATATGTTATTGTGCTGATGCTTAAAATCCATCTTCATTGCATTTGTTTAATAGAAACTGGAATTATCATTTTGGATATTTCTCATACAATGCTAACAGGTCTCTTACTCTGCAATCAGTTGTTAGTTCTGAATAATTTATTTAAATTTGAGGCAAATTAAGTTACCATTGAGAAAAAGAAATTAACATTTTTCATCATGCTTCGTGCCCACAAAAAAAACAGTGTCAAAAGGACAGTTTTTCCCTTGACACCACTATTATTTTAACTACCTTCACTCCTCAGCAATGTTTATTGTTTTAAAAAGAAATGATTAAAATTGTAATAAAACCTAAACATATGATGAAAGTGAATTTATTTGTTCTTGACAATTAATGACAAACATAATAAATGCTATTTATTTATTTATTACATTGTTTATTGGAATGGTTGGCAAAACATTGGCAAATTGCCAATCAATTTGAACTTTATAAAATAGTAACTAATAAGGATTTCCTTGTAGTTGGTTCACATATTTAATAATTTAGTAAATGTTTATAAATTTACTAATAAAAAAATAGTTTTCATATTTATTTCTTTATAAATTGGTAATGATTAATATTGCATTGTATTAGTTTTAATTGTATTTTTAGAATGTTGTAAATATAAAATTATTCTTGTAAATAAACAATCTAATAGTGCTTATTATTTTCATTGTCAATTCTCAGGAACAAAGAAAATGTATAAATTCACTTTCATCATATGTTTAGGTTTTATTACAATTCTAATCATCGCTTTTAAAACAATAACATTAGGTAGTTGAAATAATAACAATGTTGATGGAAAAACCATCTTTTGACACTTCGTTTTTTGCAAACACAAAGGTCTAAATTTGCCAATTAATTGATCTAAATTCTGTCTTATTTTCTCATAACAAATCATCATGTGAGAATGTATTACAAAGGAGGACTCTGTTGGATAAGTGGGATGTCGAAGGACTTGATATTACAGTTGTCTGAACATAAACTATGAAAAAGTTTATCTTGTGGAGGAAATACGAAAAAAAAATTTTCCCAAGAAGTTAAAATCAACTTCTCTTTAAACTAAAGAATTCCCTGAGATTTTTGTTATTTCATGTTAGATTCAATTTTTCCACGGAATCTCATCTTAACATTTTTACTTTCAGCTAAATACAAACCTGACATGTGCAGAACGTTATGCTCGTCCAATGATGACTGTTTTTCAGAGGCATGCTGGACACTATCTACCTGGCACTACTGAAATAAATGAAGTAATTATTTCTTTTCAGCATAATTTGCATATTTTCAAATTATTACTATCCACATTTGCCATAATAAGTGCTATGATTAAGCTTTTAAAATAATTTCTATGATATATGTATAAGCAAAAATCTTTATTTAAAAAGAGAATTATGTGAATTTTGATGAAATTGTTACCTTGGAATCTTAAAATCTAATGCTAACAATAATTCTTTTCTTTCTTTATAACACTGAGTCTATAAGTGGCATCTGCTCTTTGGGGATTTATGACAAAAATGAAATGATCAATAGATGAGAAAGACTGAATTTTAAGATATAAAGTTCAAACATTTCAATATTCTGAATATTTTTTAAATAAAATATCAATAAAATACAAGAAATTCTTCTGATTTTAAAAATTTTGTTTGTTTTGTTCAACTCAAGGTTTTATTCCAAATTGCCATACATTTCTATATAAGTTGTTATTTTGTATAAACAAAGTCATTGTATCAACATGATGGTTCATTGTCACTGATTTGAACCAAGTTAATTTAACACTGGCCTGTTTTGCTTCAATCTATGCATATACTCATCCAACTATTTTAGTGAACTGGAATACAAGTTTATAGAAAATGAATTCTGATTTAAGATGTATTTATATTGGAAAGCTTGATTTCATTTTCACCTTGTTGACAATTTTCCATTGCAGGCCAATCGTCATTTGCTGAGTTCCATGGCACAAAGCAGCCAGAATATTGATCTGCTCAACTTAGCTAAACTCAACATCCAAAGTGACCTTCGCAGCAAATCAGCTGCTGTCAAGATTGATGGAGACGTGTTTCGCCTACGTCGCAATCGAGCCAGCCACAGATGGCCTATTGGGGGACACTTTTGAAAACTTCTTCATAAAATTCTTCTTGTTTTAATATTTCATCCTTAAGGATAGAAATAATAAAAACGGTTGCCTTTTTAGTAAAACAAAAAACAACCAATTTTCCCATGTACATGTATATATATATCAATCTGTGTGTGTGTGTGTGTGTGTATGCGCATATGTGTGTGTGTGCATAGATGTGCATCTTTATGTGCTTACTATTTTAATGCACACACCTGTTTTGCAGATATTGGTTTTTCATTATTGAATTTTATTATATCAAACTTTATTACAAAAAACATTCACTAATTTGTTCATTATTAATAATATAATAAGGAATCTGTTAAATTTAAAGTTTTTTCCCTTTAATATTCTGCACTTCTGTAATTTTAGAGGGATTCACAGTTGTTCTTGAGTCAATTTACAGCTCTTTTATTTAAGTCTTACATTACAAGTTTTTCTCTGGTAATGTTAAAGATTTTGAATCAGCAACCTGAACATTCAAAGAGAACTGAAAATTTCAATGAAGTATTCTCCTTTGGTGTTAATTTAAAGTCCAATCTCTTTTCCATCAGATGACAGTTGCTATTTTACTAGCTACTGGTTCACAGTTTACTATTGTTTACTATGGTTCATGATAATAAAGATTCAAGAAAATCCATCCTTATAATTATTTTGAGAATACTTTTCAATTTTGATATTTAGCATTTTTGTATTCTCTCATTATTGTGCTGATCCCGGGAGATAAAATGACTTAATTTTTAATTATTTTTACAAATTTTTACAAAGCAAAAAGTGTTTGTATTTGCAAAAAAAAAAAAACATAACATTTACATGTCCCATATTATAAATCCAGTTTGTTTATAAAGTTGTTGTAAGAAAATGAATTGAAAAGTAGTGACTTGAATTTGAAGAAATTTTGAAAAACTAAATTGTTGGATTTTTTTAAAATGCTAGTCTGACATTTGTGTGAACAGATTGGCTGATTGGAATTTTTATGATCTTTCTTAAGAAACAATATATTTCTTTCTGCTGCAAACAGTTCATTTCACACCATGTCTAATAAGAAAATTTAAATGGATGCTGTCATAATTTTTTATAGTTTTAGACTATCAAGAATTATTAGTATACAGTATATGATATAAAAGGAAATTTTGTTTTTGACAAAAAATAAACAGTTTCTATTTATTGTATATTTTGATTATAATACAAAATTTATTTAATGTGTGAATATTTTGCTAACAAGAAGGAAAACCTGTTTGGAAAATGGAATTGTCAGTTTTGTTGATTATTATCATAAAAAAAGCCAAAATAAATTTGGTTTGTCTTAGCACAAGGAAAGTAACCATGCCAATTTTTATTCCATTTCCAGAAGCCAATTTTTATACAGTTTTAAGGTACCATTTTTTATACCATTTTCAAAATTAGGCCATTTTTAAAAGACCTAATTTTAAAATACAATATTTAAGAGATGAAGGAAATATTCAAATTTAAGGATTATCATTAAATTATCATTAATAATCATTAATTATCATTAAATTTTGATTGGTTGATTGTGTTTTTACAAATATAATTTTTAACCTATATTTAATGATATTTTCATTATGAGGATTAATGAAAACTCAAAACTGAATCTCTCATATATAGCATTACTTTCTATTTCCCTTTGGATTTCATCAGTTACCATTGAGCTGTGTATGTGTGCAGCCCTCACAAACTCAGATAGCACTCTGAAGCTCAACTTTCATTTTACCACATCCTGTAAAAGTTTGGTTCTATTTTATTTTGCCCTTTTTAGTTTTCATATTGAGCAACTTTCACTTCACTGTTAAAACTTTCACATGTTCAACTGGAAAACTATTCAGTCTATTTTAATTTTCAACTAATAAATTTGGGAAGTAAAATTGTCATATATTTTCTAGGTCTTAAAAAAAAAATAGAAAAGGTTATTTACAATTACGGTTTGCACTAAGAAACGAAAGAGGATGAAATGGGTGTCAAGATATACAAAGAGAATTAATAACTTAGTAATGAGATTTCAAATATCAATATTTATACAACTTTTATCTCACACTTGGCAAACTAATATAACACAGCAAGGACATGGTCATCATTAAAATAGGCACAAAGTGAACCGTAAAGGATTTTATCTGAGTCTGAAATGTCTGATGCTTTTATGACCAGCAGTAAAGTCTAAAAACCAAAAAGCAGTAAATAGATAAATAAATGATAATTTTCAGTAACAAATGCCATTTGGCTGGAAGATAAAAAGTTCCACTTGCCGACTTATATAAACATTCACTGTTCTAATTGAGAGTAGTTCTGATGTTGCCTGTTAGTGGAATACAGGATGTCCATCTAGAGAGTTCTGGACAACCCATTAGAGAGTAGTTTCAAGTCACCCATTGAGCATGTTGCCAAACATATGTTGTAATGTAGAGATGAGCAGTCATAGCAGGAGAGAATCTGCATTGGCTGAAGAAAAGAACTGATCTGTTAGTGTCTCATGCCAGAAGTAGTAGAAGCTGTCCCAAGTGTCAATCACATACCCACCCCCAAACTGTGCATGAAGTGCGTGAAGAAGTGGCAATATTTTTACCTTTCGTTTCAAGCAATGGGCCGCTCTCAGGTTTTGTGTACACCAATGAAGACTGGAATCAAAACTCAATGTGGTGTGTTTTGTCCAGTGAGTGAAAGATTGAGAGAGAGAGAGGTACCTATTGTATGTTTACACTAAATGTTGAACTTTCTTGACAAGCAAAATGAAAAATGATGATTAATAGACATTGTGTACAGTTTTTTTATCTTTAAAGTTTGCAATATTTTCATTGGTAATTTTCCAACACTTATGTGATGCAGCATTTTGTATTTATTTTGTATTAAAAAAAGTTCTCTTTATTGACTAAGATGAACAAATTTTGTTTTTCATTTTTAGTGAAATAAGATTTAATATCAGTTTTAACTGAGAGTGAAAGTACCTCTACAACATTTTATAAGTTCAGCATAATGCAGATGTCTTTGGTGTCAAAAAAATCATTAGCTTAAAATTCTATTTGAATTTCGTTCTTTTTTAAGGAACATTGTAAACAATAAGAATTCTTCTAAATTGTATGTATGAATTCTAACTTCAAACTTAGAAGAATTCATAGCAACCTTCAATAAACAAACTTTAAAATGAATCCTGTTCATTAATAAATTCAAAATATATCAATAATGTTTCCACTGAATAAGAGACAATGTAAAAAAATATACAGAATAAAATTAGGTGAAAATCTTAATTATTAATAGTCAATATTTGATTAACAAATAATGTATATTTCAGTTTATAATGTGCAAACATTGCAGATGTGAAATAAAGTTGTATTTGTTAAGAACAAAGTCAGATTGTGATGTGAAAATGCTAATAAGAATTCCAAAAAAGTCAAAATATGTATTATATCTAAAATCATTAAGCATGTTTTACTTACGATCAGCTGATGGAAAATGAAATAATTTTTAAGTCTACTACACTGTATCTCTCATTATTAACCACTAATAATTTTTCTCCTAACTTATAGAAAACTAATGAAGGATTTCACAGAAGTATTTGCCCTATTCCTCCTCATCCTTTGTGCCATTAGACTCCCCTGTGGAGAACATAGTCACATCCTCATGCCACAAGATGTTACTGCTGTGCTTCCTGTAGAAAATAAATTTTTATAAAGAAAATTGCAATTCCCATACTCAATTAGTTTTGAATTCAGAGCTGTTCTTAACCTAGACAGATTGCCAACCAAGGTAGCTAGATAATCCAGATTATCCTGTTACTTAATCAGGTGGAGAAGAGTATTTGTGTAAAAGTGAATGCCACAAACTCAGCCAGAATTTGAACTTTGCTTACTGATTCTACTTTCTGTGTTGATGAGCACTATGCTATGTGCATATCCACTAACTAATGTGCAGAATATTTCACATAGTGTGTATAAATTAAACTACATGTCATTCTTAGGATCTACTAACAGTTTTATAAATTTTACTGAATTTTCTAAGTTTCACATTATTAACCAAATTGTTGAAACTCCAATAAATGTTATTTTTGTAATTAAAAATTATAATTACAGAAATTATGTCAATTTTACAAAGAGGAATATTAAAAAGGGTAATTTAAAAAATTAAAGAAAAAATTGAAAACAATATCATAATAATGATGATAACTTTATAGGGATAACATTAATATAAAATGTCTGCTCTCAGTTAGGAAACTTGTTCAGCCATTTTGTTAGTTGATGTATTTATATTCTGTCAAGGATTTTTGCTACCAGTAGCCTTTTATCCTTTGCTGTATCCTTCTAACACATTGAGGGTTGCATGACATTTGTTGGTAAAAATAATTATTGAATACTGAGTCTTTGTCAATGAATTTTCTTAATAGATATCTTTTAAAGGAAACTTAGTGTGCAGTCACACATATTTTGCCACTTGATTTAGGACTTGACCTGTTGTACTTTTTGACACTTCCTCACTGTTACAATGCCTAAAAATTTCATAGTTTGATAAAGATGGACTTTTCATAACTTTTCTTTTGATATCAGACATAGATTAGCAAGATTAAGTCCTCAACATACTCTCTTATCAGGCCTGAATCAAAGTCTGGGATATTCACTGAACAGTTCAGGGGTATTGGCCAATCATTTTCACAATATCCAGTGTTGTTTTATCTTTTGTTAGGCTTTGAAGATATGAAACATTTTTTTATCCATAAAATCAGTCTTACAATCCAATTAAAGGTTATATAGTGAGTCTCGATAAAAATAAAATATATAAACAAAAATAAAAAGAATTCAAATCAAAATAAGGCATTTGTACTTTCCTTTAAAATGCTCATCTCTTTCTTTCTCACTCTCTCTTTCTATACTTCTCTCAATTAACAAGGAGGCAACTCTGAAATAAAAAGAAGATGAAGAAGAAAAGATTGAACCCAGCTAAGAAACGCTGAAAGTTTATGGAATTAGAGCCTACTTATTTGTAATTGAAAAATACCA